TTACTGGTTCACACTTTGTTGACTCTTCCTTGGAAACCAGTTTAAAAATTCATGTCATGATTATTGCATGCTATAAACAAGATTGCATGCTGCTTCTTTCACTAGCCTGTTGGGTAAGTCATGGGTATGTAAGAGAAATAAGCTATTTCTAGAGCTTCCTACTTCATTTGCTGCAAAATCTGGATGGTACAGAAAGAATTGGTTACAAAAGGAAAAGACTATTTGATGGCTGTATGCAGCCGTGGAGAACTAACCTAACGTTCACTCTGTCAGAATTAGAATTCATTAGAAACCAAAAAGGTCTGAAGCAGCTTTAAATTGGTTTTGGGGTTCTTTTTAATTATTATTTTCTAAGTGACTGTTGTGAGGCTTTCAGTCTCATTTGCAGAAACAATTTTGGCTACTGTGTACAGGTAAAAAGCAGCTAGCTACTTACTTTTAAAACTAGATCTTATGTGATTCAATTTTGAAGCCTAAAATTAGGATGTACTTTTGTGCTTCCATTCTCCATCTGGAGGCAGCCAACAAAGATAACTGAGGCCAAAGTTATAGTATTGTGATTAAGTGTTTTTATTTAACTGATACCATAGTTATGACCACTCTAGAAGAACTTCTAGGACAATCTACAGACCAAAATGTGGATACAGTGTTCTTTCTAAGGCTTGGGGAGGCTATATATTTCTCTCTGAAAAGGAAACAGAAAATTAACTAAGTAAAGTTCTCAAGAACTCTCAAGTTACTCAAGAAGTAAGTGTTATCCTTTCTGCCTCATGTGGTGCAAGGAGGCATATTCCAAATTCTCCAAGAGGGACATGTAAGGAAGAAAAAAACCAACACAATGTCACTTGTAATTATAGAAAATGTAACTTGCATCCTTTCTCCAGTTAAATAACTGTATAAAGAAGCCACCTTGACTTCTTTTAAAATTTCACAGACACTATTGTGTAACTGGTTTAGAGGCTGATCCTTTATTTTCCAAATGAATGGTACCACTTTATCACAGTGTCACCTTACAGTTGTAACCCACCTCAGCATGCATGTATTGAATGTGGTATACAAGTCATCAGTGCAGTAGCTTATGAAAATACTGAATTACAGAGCATTGGAGAGGGACTGGCTTCTGGAGTACAGATGCACGTATGGCTGCACTGTTGTGTTTGACTGTCTGTTCCTCCCTTGCCTCATTTCCCCTTTCATTCGTTTTTCTTCCCTTCCAATTCTTACCCCATTTAGTTTTAAATGAACTTCTCAGGGGTCAAAGTGTTGGAAGATATGAAGTTCTTATGAGTTTCACAGTATTTATGTCTGGTCTTCAGGCCAGTATGTATTAAGAGCCCACTGGCACATGCAGTGCATAGAAGGGCTATAGCTTGTCATACCAGACAGTAGCTGGAGAGCAGGAGAGGGGAGTAGCAAGAGACGTTGCCTTGAGAGAAGAGGGAGGAGCACTGTTTGACTGGTTAAACCTTACAGAGGCATCATTCCTGCATATGAAAGAACTTGTTCAGTTACTTTCACCTTCCCAAGAATTATGCAAACCATTCATCCTAAACAGCAGATTCTGCTGCGTCTACTTAGTCTGAAAAGAAGCCAGTATTTTCTGTTAATAGTGAGCATGACTAACCATACCTTTTAAAAGTTCCATTTAGCAAAGTGATTTTAATTTGCATCCTGGACAGATCTTAATTTATAGGGTTATTTTCTGCACATATTTGTGCCTCCTTACCAACCCCTCAGATTTCTTTAAAATCTTAAATGATTTCCTCACTTTTCCAGAAAAGCCTTTTTAATGTTCATCTTTTCACATGTACATTAAGGGCCTGTAGTTGATTTATTAAATTCTAGTATTTAAACAGTGTTATCAGAGAAGACAAGTCCATGTTTAGGGCATAAAAGAGGAACAGAAATATTTTAAGTACCTCTGAGGTCTGAAGTGTTAGGAAAGGAGTCCTGAATTCAAGGCCATAGCTTTGTTCTGCTCTTGTGTGTTCCCCCCCCCCCCCCCACAGCCCCCAATTTGTAATTTTATTGTTCTGTTGGATCACCGAACAATTATTTTTTGGGAAATAATTATGATACAGGACAGACAGTGCTTCAGAACATGTAGAGATGGTGCTGAGAATCTTTTTAGGAAAACCAAATTCTGAACTTGAACTTGGCTTCAGCGCTCTAGAGAGCTTTGGTTGTTTAGTGGTTCTTTGTTTACTGAATTTGAATTCATAGAATCATAGAATGGTTACTTCTTAATTATTTTTTTACCTGTCAAATAAGTACAGCCACAGAGAACTACTGTAAAAAAGTTGATAGGTTTTAAGTTTGTGAGTGACTTTATGACAGTATCTTGCGCAAAGGAGCCACGCTGTCTGCTACGGGACTGTATGTCCATTGTGCAGTATCTCTTGTGACATGCAGAGAGTTCTTCTAAATGCCTTATCCTGGCAACATTGCCATTTTTTCCCTGAGAACCTTTCTGCAGTTACTCAGTCTTGGATAGTCATCTGATCCTGTTTACATGTGCTGCATGGAGGAAACTTTGAACTGTTTTATGGTTGTTGATTATTCAGTCCATGTTGTTTTGCAGACTGTGGCAGTGGTTTTGTAAGTGTTCCAGCACCAGTATGAGAAAGGTCAGATTCCAGGGGAGCTCTGGAGCTGCAGGAGCACAGGATATCACTTTTTCCAATAGCATAAGAAAGAAACAAGTGAAGCTCATGCAACTGTATTTCTCAGATCACTCAACCGTATTACTGAAATAACTAACTGAGTGACATAAAACATTGGAGAGTAGTCCAGCAGTAGGTAGAGACACATGGCTCTTGTTGCCAGGTGGTTTTGTTTCAGTGTCCTTCAGGACTCTATGCTCTGACCTGGCAGGTGAGAAATAGTCTCATAAAACTGGTATGGTATCCTTGAGTTTCAGAACTGAAAGTTAGGTATGGGATGGCAGGAATTTAACTATGTCTTGCTTTAAGGAAAGCAATAAACTACTTTACTTAGAGAAACCATTTTATAGTTGTGGGCAGCAGAGTAGGGTCCTTGGCAGTTCTTCTGTGACTTAGGCATTGTGTAAATAGCAGGGTAAAGATTTTGTAATTGAGGGTTGTTAAATAGTAATTGAAAGAATTTGTGTTTGTCCATAAAACTGAGTGAATCAATAGGATCAGAATGTGGAATGGGATCAGATTTAAGAACTGAAGAATGTTACATAGCATGGTCATTTTAACAGGATGACAGAGCCTGTTAGTTTAGTCATCTATTTTGACTGTGGATCAGATTATAATCCATACAGGCATGGTTACGTGTAAGGCTCCATGAGAAATCTATTGGTTTGTGGCCAGAAAGTTTGGGAACAGTTTGTTCTACCATGTCACCAAAAGAGAATACTGGAAGTAGCATACTGGTGTTTCTGCCTGGTTTTGTCAGTGGCAATGTGTTAAAATGTGTGCTTGATGTTAGTTGGTTTCATGTTGGAAATGCAGAAAGATAAAAAATGTTGCTTGCAAACATTGGCAAATAGAGAACTGTTCTCATGATTTCTGGATTGGATGTGTCTTGGATAATGAAGAATTAGAAATTGCGACCATCTGACAGCTGCTTGATTTAAATAAATGATTGTTTTTCCTGTTTAATTTGATTTGGTTTGTCCACAGTATCAGAGCTGCCACAATAAGCAGCTGTCTTTACAGTCATAATGGGCAGGGGCAGAATCAGTGAATTCTCCTTCTAACCTGAAGTTCAAGTATCAGCAGGGTCATTGTGTGATGGGCAGATGAAAATGACTGTTCAGGTTTGAGATGCTTTGAGGGCTTGCATGTTGAGGTTAGCACTAAACTAATATGGTTGCACAACTTTTAGGTTGGAGGTGGCTTACAGGAGGGTAGAGCAGCCTGCATAGCAAAATTGTTAATTTGCCTAAATGTTGCCTGCTCACCTGCTCTGCTTTCTGGTAGTTTATTGTCTTCCCATGGCATGTACATGTCACTATTCGTGATACTCCCTATGGTGTCTTCCCTTTTTAGCTACTTATTTGATACCAGACAGTGATATGACTCAATGCTGTCTCATCAGGTCACTGTTTGAGACAAAACTATGTTGTTTGAAGCCTCGTAGGCATCTCTTTCACTTGCTTCTTTTCCTCTTTCTACATCTGTTAGTGAGACTTCTGCGCTATAGAATCTATCTACAACTATCATAGAAGCTGGCTATAGGGGTCTCTTTAAAAAAAACTTTCCCTCTTCCATAGAGAAACTGTCTAATTTTGAAAGTATGATATTGTTTTACTTGTATGTATTGTCTTATAAATCTTTTCTTTAAATTTAAAGTATCTTTTATGAGAAAATCAAGTCTAAATTGCATTGTCTTCCAAAGATGATTATATTTATTTGGATCTCCTCCTTTTGCTTATTTATGTGTATGGACTGGTGAAAACACCATTAACGACAGGGGCTGAGTTACCGTCTTCCAGAAAGTGAATTCTGTCAACTTGGATTCATTTGGTGCTAGAATTCTGCCTTGGCTTTATGCAAGCAGAAAGCACTCATTCCGCAGATTGCTAGATATCCTTGCATACCTGTAATTATCCAAATTATTGTGGAGAAAAATTTTATTACATTAAACACAAGTGTCTAATGATGAGTTATCTTCTTTTTTTTTTTTGCAGAGGGTTGTTTGTTTACTTTAACCATTTGCTCAGATACTGTCTCATTAGGTGGAAAGCTATTTTAGATACTCCTTTTTCCATCTTTCTGCAAGATCACATATTCCTCCCAGATTCGTTGTATTTCTTCTATGCTTCCTTAAGAAGCAGCATTTGTATTTACAAAAGAGAGCATATTTACCAAGATAATAGGCTTTTCAGTCCACGTGAGTACTTGTATGTCAATTTTTGCTCCATTCCATGTGAAGTAAGAGTTTTATGGTCTGATCCCAAACAGGCAGATTCAGTGGTTATTCAGCACTAAATCCTTTTGGAGATGGTTATGTCATGGTTTAAAACAAAGGTTTTTTTCTGTTTCTTTGCAGTCACTCTTAGAAGCACATGATATTGTGGCTTCAAAATGTTACGATTCCCCTCCTTCTAGCCCAGAAGTCAATAATTCTTCAGTGAACAATCAGATTGTTCCAGTAGATGCTATTCGTATCCTTGGAATTCACAAAAGAGCAGGAGAACCACTGGTAAGTCACTGAAGATACGTGTGCCTTTAAAGTCTGAGTGAAAATGTTTTCATGTGCCTGATTTCTTGCATTATGTTTTGTTTCTATTATTATGCTGTGTAATTTAATGGGTGACAAGATCAGTATTGAGAGGTTGATACAAGAATTTATTTGTTTTCTTTAAGAAATTATGGGATGTGAATAAGCAGTCACAAGGATGAATGACTTGCTAGCATGACTAACACAGTGTCCCTTTTGGTCCTGGTACAAAATGAGAGGATTACACGTAATAATGAAAATACAGTCATCATTCAGTCATATGAAAAGCTTGTCTGAAAGCACTTTTGTCACCTGATGCTTATCTGCGTATTAGGAACTCTTAACACTGTAGTAAATCTTACTGTCTGGTTGTATTGGGGTAGATAGAAGATCACATGTTTTTCCTTGACATAATGGTAAAATGAAATTGAAATTCAAATGGTGGTAAACTAGGTGTCACATACCTCTTTCAGGGTGTAACATTTAGAGTTGAGAACAATGATCTCGTAATAGCACGAATTCTTCACGGTGGAATGATAGATCGACAAGGTCTTCTGCACGTAGGTGACATTATTAAAGAGGTGAATGGCCATGAGGTTGGAAACAATCCAAAAGAATTGCAGGAACTGCTGAAAAATATTAGTGGCAGTGTCACTCTGAAGATTCTCCCCAGCTACAGAGACACTGTTATTCCTCAACAGGTCAGTAGCACGTTTCTAAAGTTTCTGTCAAAAGGTTATTTTAAGATTTTTTGATTATTTTGTGTATTTAATGCTGGCAAGAAGTCTAAAATGTAGATACTTTATTCACTTTAATTACGTTTTGGAAGTGGGTTTACTCTGTAGATTAATACCACACCTAATATCCCTGCATAAAAAAAACTTAATTAGTATCTAAGATTGATAAGCATTTGTATACTACACATAAATCATGTTTCTTTGACATCCAGTGACCTCTGCTGACCTAGCCACAATCACACTAAACTGCAGTGAACTGCATGTGTTTATACCATGATCAGTGTCCAAGTAATCCGCTTCAGAGTATTCAGGAACATACTGAATTCGACAGATCAGCTTGAACTCCCCAACTTAAGTAGGAACTTGGGTGGTGGCAATTCCTTATCCTTTTGTTGTTGCTCTAGGCTGTTGATTTCTCCACTGCAGAGCTAACTTGTTCCTCTAAAACAAGTCCTCTAAGCCTCTGAAACATCTTATAAGACGCTCCTTCGAGCAGTAGGTCTAATGCTTGTGACTGTAATAGGCTGTGCCAGCACTGAGTACATGCTGAGGGAACGTGCTGTATTTGAGGCAGGTGTGCTGCTTCCTTTGTTCCCCAGCCTGGTAGAAAAAGGTGTAAGATAATTCTAGTGTACTGATGCAACTTGCTGTTTCTTCCACTGCATCAAGTGTGAGTCTTAAGCAGTCACATTCCTTGCTTGATTTAAAACATTGATTTAATGGCCACATTAATTCTTAAGAAGCCCTGAATACAGTGCTCACATTCTGAGAATTTATTTATATTTTAAGTAATTTAAAGTCAGAATACTAATTGAGTTGTACATACTGAAATGCAGAAATGAGTGTTTTGTAATACATTGTCCAAATAGAACAGTTGGGGGTTTTATTTTTATCATGAAGCTCTTTCATCCAAGGTTTGCACTGCTGATTATTCTACTCTCTCAGCTGGTATATGCCATTTTTTTCCACAGATTGTATTTTACTTGCTAAATGCAACTTTGATCGTATCTAACTGTAGGTAAAGACATTATTTCAGTTTGACAAATAAATCAGAATGCATTTTATAATGTTTAAGCTTTGTAAATTTTTTACACATTTCAGGTTTTTGTGAAGTGTCATTTTGATTATAATCCATATAATGACAACCTCATCCCATGCAAAGAAGCAGGTTTGAAATTTTCTAAAGGAGAAATTCTTCAGATTGTAAACCGGGAAGATCCAAATTGGTGGCAGGTTGGTAAAAAGATTAAAAAATAAAATAAAACCCCCTTAAAAGCTTCACTAGTTGCTGTAATAGTAAACTCTTTAGATGATGATCTGCTTCCCTTTAAGAGTAGATATAAGAAAAAATATTTACATTGCAATCCAATTTCAAGCTAATATCAAGATATTAACAGTTGAAATACTAAAGAAAATTGAATGGTATGAATTGTATCCATAACACTCATTTTGCTATTACTGCTATTTATTTGTCTTTGTTCTTGTATCATAAGCCTAGACATTCCACAGCCAATTTAAGTGGACAATTTCTAGCAGAAAGTCTTAGGTTGAACTATGTCAATTGTGGTAAGCCTTCCCTGACAGCAACTCTAGAAGAAGTGGACCCCTTCCTGAGTGCTCAGAGTTGAGGAGAGAGAGGGAGATTAACCCTGTGGATTTGAAGAGGGGTGAGAATAGCTATTTGGAGAAGTGGTATCTTTATTTCTACAGTGGTGGTCAGTGTCTGTGAGCTGTAACATGCATGGTCATAATCAAAATGTTTGGTGCTATTTCAAATATTAACAGTTCATCATGCTTTAAGGTTCTGTTTCCTCATTCAGTCCTTCAGTAGAATTGTAATCCAGTGCTTATGGTGTTTTTATTTTTTACAAGACACTATACATACAATAAAACATCACCAGTGCCATTGAAAGTGGGGTGATTGAAGCTATAAGACACTCTTCTCAACCGAGGTACTCAAAACTGCAAGTGGCAGTGGCAATCTAGTTAAAAAGTTTAGCATTACTCATTTCCTTTTCTACCCCTAAATTGCTCACCGCTTGCTAGATAACAAGCAACAGTGAGCCAAACATTACTTGAGAGCAATAGATGTATTACTTCTTTAGGAGCTACAAAAATATCTGAATATACATCAACAACTGCTACTGAATTCTGTTGCTTGTCAGTGACAGTAATAACAGACTAAAAAAGTGTGAGGGAAGGCAAAAAATTTCTTACTGCCAAGTTCATTAGTTTCAATTAACTCTGTAGTAGTTTGACATTTAGCTTACATGCTGTGTTCTGTATTGCTTTTCAAATCCTCCAGTTGCAACTTCTGGTAGTCCACAAGAAATAAAACTTAAATACTCAATCAGTGGCAAACATGAAATGTGTTAAACCAGCATAGTGTGTTGCGAGTCCTGCTATGCAGATTGTGCCAGTGGAGAGAAAATTGGGTTTCCTTTGTGTTTTCTAGAAATGCCAGGCTGTTACTGAAAACTTGCTAAGTGTAAAATACCAGCCATAGGTAAAAGCAGACAGTTCTGTTAGCAAGAGACAGGCTGACCAGTTATGGAGAAGAAAAGTGTACATATCGTAATTGTGTGTTTGTATGTGTTAAGCTTGCTGGCAATTGAGCTAGCCATGAAATTACTTTGTACAGAATATTAGCCAAACTTTCATTACAAGGAATACTTCAGTTACTAAGATTTTAAATCTCTAGTTAGTGTAAAAAGCTTAAGGCATGATTAGGCATGTGTTAATGACATTGACTGTGAAATGACAGTTAACAAGCTGCACTGGAACCTGTTTGGAGCAGCTCAAGAGTACAAAATACATCTACAGTGTACTAGAAAGTCTTTGGGTTTGTCACTTGAGAGTTCAATGTCTGGAGAATTCCATTTTGATGCCAAAGGTTTATGGCTATAGGAGCTTACTAACTTAATGGGAACCAGTAATGAAATCTGTCTATTTTATTTATGTTTCCTGAATTTTAATACGCAATGGGAGGACACTGTTACTGTAAGACAGAATTTTAATAGCCACATCTGAGTTTGAATTTCCAAGTCTCAGTAGTAAATGTATCAATACCACCTTTGGGAAACATTGGCAGTGTGAAGGTCAGACATCACTATGTCAATAAGAAAAATGCTTCTTGCAACTTAACCTATGATTTTTCTTTTTTACCCCCAGGCTAGTCATGTGAAAGAAGGAGGAAGTGCAGGGCTTATTCCCAGCCAGTTCCTGGAAGAGAAGAGAAAGGCCTTTGTGAGGAGGGACTGGGACAATTCAGGTAAGATTTAATGAATTTCAGAGATAGATTTTGCTCCATCTGTTAATGCCTTTCCTGCCTTCATAAAGACTAGAAAACTGCTGTGTGAGAATACACTGAACACTCTGAAATGCTAATTATTGTATTTTGGCTTTGATTGAAGGACAAAGGCTAAAGTCTATGCTTAGTCTTCATAGACTAAGGAACAGGAATCGATAGGAATCATAGGAATCAATTTTGCCACCTGCTGATGAAAAGCTAAGTTAAGTGGGAAAGGCAAATAATTTAATTATTATTAACTTTTTTTAAAAAAGTGCTTTTTTATGATGTTTTTGTAGCATACACTGAAGGTTAATATATTAAACACGTTTGATGGATTTTTCTGCTGCTTTTTACAAAGCTTTTTAGGAAAATTAATTTGTTCTCTGTGTTCAGTTCTTACTATACCATTTGATGTGTACAAAAATATATATGATCTCCTGCCCTAGAATATATAAAAATCTAAATAGTCCTTATACATTTTAATTAATCTTATACATTTTAATTAATCTATACATTTTATTAATCTATACATTTTAATTAATCTTATACATTTTAATTAATATATTCTGCATATGTTCTTGTAAATAAGCTTTGGAAAAAGACATTTAGCTAAAATTATGAGTTTCTTATTTATTTTTTCTTTTCCTAGGGCCTTTCTGTGGAACAATAAGCAGCAAAAAAAAGAAAAAGATGATGTATCTCACTACAAGAAATGCAGGTATCTCTTAATATTCCATATACATCAGAGTACTTTAGCCTTCTGAACCTGCAGAGTCTAGAGGATCCAAAGCTGGAAGAATTGCAGTAAAGTATTTGATTAGAAATTTGTTTGATCAGGTAGTTGTTATGGTTTAAAAGCAATAATGACCAGTGAAGATATGGTGGTGCTGAGTACATCTTTTGGTAGGTGAGGGTCAGAGAAAAATTGTTTGTTAGAAGAGGAAAAAAAAAGTGAAAGCTTTGCTGTCAGCAGGTTGAGGGATGTGATCCTTCCCCTCTACTCAGCACTGATGAAGCCACACCTGAAGCATACTGGGCTCCTCCTCAGTGCAAGGGAAACATGGACATACAAAGATGATGAAAGGACTGGAGCATCTTTCCTATGAGGAGAGGCTGAGCTGGGCCTGTTCAGCCTGGAGAAGGCTCAGGGGGATCTCATCAGTGGGTATAAATACCTGAAGGGAGGGTGCAAAGAGGACAGAGCCAGGCTCTTTCTGTTCAGAGAAGCCCAGTGACAAGACCAGAGGCAACAAGCAGCAACACAGGATACTCCCTCTGAACATCAAGAAACACTTTTTCCACTGCGAGGGTGACTGAGTTTCCCAGAGAGGTTGTTGAGTCTCCCTCCTTGAAGATAGTTGACAGCCACCTGGACGTGGTCCTGACCATCGTTTCCAGGTAGCCCTGCTTGAGCAGGGGGTTGGACCAGATGCCATCCAGAGATACCTTCCATCCTTAAGAATTTTGTGATGCCGTGAAAGCTCACTAATTGTTAATCAGTTTTCCCGTTCTGATCAAGCTCAGATTTTTTCACTGGAAGTAAAGGTAATAATCTGATTTATGCTGTCTGTGAAGGGCTAACTATTTTATTCCCATACCAATTTAAAACAAGAAAGCTTGTGTCAGAATTAATGCTTTTGGAGTACTATTTATATTTGCATATGGTTTGTTTATATATAGCATGACTGCTTCTTCATTTTTTTTCTTACAGTGCTGTGTATTAACTGGTTTTGTACATTTCTCAATGTAGAATTTGATCGTCATGAAATCCAGATCTATGAGGAAGTAGCCAAAATGCCTCCTTTTCAGAGGAAAACATTGGTCTTAATTGGGGCCCAAGGAGTGGGGCGAAGAAGTTTGAAGAACAGGTTTATAGTACTGAATCCTACTAGGTTTGGAACCACAGTGCCATGTAAGTTGCCAGCACTCCTATTGCAATATCATACTTCGAGTCTTTTACTATCTGGATAATACCTGGTGTTTATCCCAGTGATTCAGGGTAGGAGAAATTTTGTCAGAATATAAAAATTATGTAGCATGGGAAAACAAAAAAAAAGGTTTCTTCATCTTCTCAGACAACAGAAATAACATGATGACAATGAAAATACTGGTTAAATGTTACTGATGGTGCAGTAAAACAGTTTTTGTATCTGCAGTGTTTCAGTCTGCTAGGTTTCTTCAGTGCTGGTCACCATCAGTTTCTGAGAGGATTCTAGAAGTTCCTAATACTCTCCTGTAATGAACAGTCACTGGAGTTTCTCAGGTCTGCCATTCAGTTTTCCATCTGTAGAAGCACCCTAGGCATTATAAATTCTTTCTTTAGTATCAGAAATGTAGGGAGAAGCAACACACTTCTAATAAAACTGAAGTGTGTGTGATCTCCAAGAACTGTATGGTACTGTTATGTCTTAATACATCTAGCCTCAAGCCCATGATCTTTCTTTTTTTCTATCAACTTCAAAAACACCCCTCCTGTCTTACGGAAGCATTGTTTTCTTGCCTTCCTCACAGATAGTTACTTCGCTCATTCGCAAGATCTTTATTTCTTTAACAGCCCTCTCCTGTTTGCTGACCAGAGAGGTCTATCCAAGTCACATTATTATTCTCCTCCTGCCAGCTGCTTTTCAGAATTTCAAATCCAGTCTTTTCCCTTCTGTTTTCACTGGGCAACAAGTAGATCTGATAATACGGGGAGGAGGGAGAGGTCTGAAAGATAAATTGTGCAACATAAGAGAACCAGTCTCTCTGATTCACTGAATCTCTAATACCAGAACTGGCACTTAGAATTGCTATGTGTAACTGACAGCAAGGTTGACTTCTAAGTGTTAATTTTGTAGAAGAAATCTTTCTCTGGGAATCTCCTTATTTCATATTGGCAAAATAGGAAGAAACTTTTTATTACATATAAAATTCTTTATTCCCTTTTTAAAAAGCCCTCAGAATTATTGTTTTATCTAAAATACTACATAGATATTTAAATATATGTAAATAATGCAACACAGTGTTAAAATGCTTTTACTTGGAGCTCTTGAGCACCCTTCAAAGGCATAAAAAAAACATCCTGACTTAGCAATCTGACAATCTAATCATGCACATGCAGTACATAATTTATTGTATATAGCGTCTTCTCTATATACACTCTCTGTATGCTGTAAACTGTCGAAGCTCATTCTCCAAAATTTGTCTCAAACTGCTATGATTTTTTAATTGTATTAACCATTCCAGTTTTAAAATTTGTGTAGATCTTGGCTAAAGCCTAGATACTGTAGTAATAGGTTTCTTGCTAGCAGCTTCAGAACATCATTTCACCTGAGTTTTCAATAATAACAAAGTTGATAGGAATTACTGGAAGGGGGAGCATGCTTTCCACTTGTATCACCAAGTTGCACCAAGTAATGCTGTGTCACCAGTGATGATACAAAAGTATTGCCAAAGGGATCCACTTGCTATATATCACTTAATATATTTTAGAGTTCAAATCTGATTAAATGCGAAGAATTTAATAAAGTAATATTGTGATAGGACACTGAAGTTGGTAATAATCTGACACTTCTATTTCATTTACTTTATTTTCACTTTCTTGCTTAAACAATGCCTGCACTGCACAGCATGGCCAATACCCAAGAGAGCTGCTAATGTTTTACTTAAAAATTGGCTTTAATCTGTCTGCAGTGAATTCACCTTCCTTTGAAGGGTAAGTTGTCCTGGAAAGCAGCATTAGCTAGCCTCCACTCATTTTCTGCTGCAGTGGCTGGGTTTCTTCTGATATTTAAGCTAACTTTCTTTATAGCTAGCTCAGGTAATTCTATCCTAAGTAACAGGGCAAATACAGTGAGCAAAGTATGTGCTAGGGCTTGGGGGGCAGGACAGTGCAGATTTTGATGTGTGCTCAGTTATTTTCAGAAATGTATTTGGCATTTGAGAGTTAAACTTTCATTCGATTCGAAGTCACTTTAATATTATATGAAGTGAATAATTAAAAAGATCACATTAATGAGTACTGTATATGGTGTGAAGGAGTAATACAAAGAAAATAGGCAAATGGTAAGCAACATATAGGAAAGAATAGAAATAAAGGGAACAGGAGGGGCTGTGTTCAGTTTTGAAACTTACATTAGAATAATTAATCTTGTATGGAAAAAATGTAATTGTATGTTAATGTCTATTGTACTTTCCCTATCAGGCAGTCCAGCCTCATATTTGTATTCCAAATAAAAAAAGAAAACATTCAATTTGTACTTTAAATTTTTTGTTTAGTTACCTCACGAAAGCCCAGGGATGATGAAAAGGATGGGCAAGCGTACAGATTCGTGTCACGAGCTGAAATGGAGATGGATATTAAAGCTGGCAGATATTTAGAGCATGGAGAATATGAAGGAAATCTTTATGGCACTAAAATTGATTCCATCCTTGAAGTTGTTCAGACAGGAAGGACCTGCATCTTGGATGTGAATCCACAGGTATATCGTTTATAATGTTACACTACAAGTGTAGGAGTGTAGTGTTGAAGTGGTATGCCTTTAAATTTGAAGTCTTATGTGGTTTGAAGATTACATTATCAACTGGATTCTTGCGTTTGTGGCACTTAGTTGGAATGAGTTAGAAAGATGGAAAAAAGCCAACAAGGATTCTGCGTAGAAGGGGAGGCTTACAGAGTCGTAAATAATCTTTTTAGCCAGGGAAAGAATGATGCTGAGCGTTTCAAAAAGCAGTGTTAGGAGTTTCTAAAATAGAAATAGGAATCTTCGCTTATGTGTTTCTGCCTATTGTAACAGACTAGTTTTGCAGTGCCCCTTAAGTAACAGTGACGTGTGGTGAGTCATTCTCAAACTTTGGGGTTTTTTTTCTTCCTCTTTGCTTCTAGGCCCTGAAAATACTGAGGACTTCCGAATTCATGCCCTATGTGGTGTTTATTGCTGCTCCGGAGTTGGAGACTCTGCGTGCTATGCACAAGGCTGTGGTAGATGCTGGAATTACAACCAAACTGCTCACTGTAAGCAGATTATTTCATAGTTAGTTTGCTTTGAATAGGATGTTCTGATATTATTATTTTAGGGTTTTACCTTTCATTTTAGATGGATTTTGTTCTGAAATGAATATCTTTAAGAAAAGTAAGGCAAGGCTTTTGCTGATTACTTAGTAGAAGTTAATCAAGTACTATGTGTAAGGCAGATTGCTTCTTTCTTAAAAATAGACCTCTTACAGAAAAGTGTTGATTACAAAAATTACTTGTAGTGCGTTCTTTGGGAAGTGTCACCTTTGATTATTTGCAGCAAATGGGAGATATTTGATGGTGGGAATTGTTCTTTTATGTAAATGTCTTTCCTTTACTTTCCACATCTTTTCCCCAAAAAAGTTTTCTTTGGGTGTGTCTTGTAATATAGGTGTGCTTTAAAAATGGAATCTGTAATCCTTAGGAAAGACACAGCAGCTTACATAAAGAAAACAAACACACACAAACAAAAAACAAACCAGCAAACACATGCTGCACTGAGAATGCCTGGGAGCTGCTGGAGTAGGAAGTGTTGAATAGCTTCTCTTCCGTTTAAGTTCCTTGGATTTGTTATGTAAAGTGAAGTGGCACATTTTATTCCTTACATCTTCTCTCCTTTTCTGAGACACCGTGTGTAGCAGAGGGGAATGAGACATGCTTCCTCCAGTGCAGCAAATGATAAATTCTATATGGACATGACCTTCACCCGCTGCAGCACCAAAGCAAAAAAGCCAGGTTGAGCAGTTAAGGAATAGTGCAGCTTCCCCATCTGAGAAAAGACATGGTTAGCTGGCAACTCACAACAATAGTGCTGCAGCTTAGATAGATAGTCACAATATCTTGTATAATGCTGATGAGGCATTCAGAGCAGTAAGAAGGGGCTGGTGGTTTAATTTCCACTAAATGAATATGGGATTTTTAGTCTCTTCCCCCCCCTCCCCCCCCAATTTCTTCTTTCCTCTTTTCAAACCTGTGAGATCCCATTCTCTTAAGCACGTCAGAGACTGTCAGTCCTAGTTGTGGATTCTGGCTGTTACAGATTCTAATATCTATGTGGATGCTCTGCCTTTCCTCCTCCCTGCTCCATATGAACCCTGAATTTTGCAGTGCATCTACAAGAATGAGATGAGAGAGGGCTGGAGCACCTCTCCAATGGAGGGAGGCTGAGAGAGCTGGTGTGGTTCAGCCTGGAGAAGAGGGGGCTCCGGGGAGACCTTAGAGCAGCTCCCAGTGCCTAAAGGGGGCCCTACAAGAAAGCTGGAGAGGGGCTTTTTACAAGGGCATGTAGGGACAGGACAGGGGGGAATGGCTTTAACCTGACAGAAGGGAGATTTAGATGAGACATTGGGAAGAAATTCTTCCCTGTGAGGGTGATGAGGCGCTGGCGCAGGTTGCCCAGAGAAGCTGTGGCCGCCCCATCCCTGGCAGTGTTCAAGGCCAGGCTGGATGGGGCTTGGAGCAACCTGCTCTAGTGGAAAGTGTCCCTGCCCGCTGGAACTGGATGAGCTTTAAGGTCCCTTCCAACCCAAACCATTCTGTGATTCTGTGTTAAGAAGGCAAAGTTAAAACTGTCCAGACAAGTATAAAGATAATTCCCTGCACTTCCTAATATTTGATTCCCTAGGCGACATGCTTGCCTCTCTTTTACTTGTCCTTATGAATAATAAAGAGGATAGTTATATTTTAAATGTACACTTAATGTATCTTTACGTGTTCTGAATCGTATCTGTACTCATGTATATAAAGAGCAGGGTTTCCCATTTCATATTCTTGTACCTCCTGAACATGTGAAAAACAAATGTCATTTGAAGTATTATGTTCTGCTTGCTAGTGGGTCTGTCTATATTATTTCTAGCATCCTAAACCATTCCATTGCAAAAATTATGATTGTTGGGGTGATACATTTGTTCATCTCCTTCATTTACTGGGAAGGAGAGGCTATTCAGAAGCTTACTTTTTCATTTTGGCTTTTCTGTTTACAACTGTAACAGGACATGAACATTTTAAAAGTACTGCCAAGGGAACAAATCTCAGAACAGCTTACAAAGAAATGGCTTTTGTGCAGAAGTGGAGAGGGATTTTCTAAGAATGTAGGACTAATGGAACATAAAAAAACTGCTCAGTGACAGCACTTCATGAAGGCTTTGTAATGTAGGGATATAAATTCCCTGCATATTTTGTAGCTTATATCAGAGCTTAAGTAATGCAGCAGTAGTTTACAAATCAGGATGTGGTGTCACGTGAGGAAGGCTGAAATGTAGCCTCCAAAAGCAGGAAGTATTCTAGAGCTTTCTTCTACTAGAAATGTATATTTCACTGTCTTTCACTTCCCACTGATTTAAATTCTTGACCTTTCTCGTGCTTTCTGTGGAAATGAAGTGCACAAATACATTTACATAAGTGATTGACTCATTCCTAAAGCATTGCTTTCATTCTAATTGGAACGTCAGTTGCAGATACAAACTGATGTGCATAAGCTCGTGTGCTTCTATTGACTTACTTAAAAATGGCAAGATTTGCAAACATTTGGTAGTCATATTTAACATTACTGGCACAGCTCATAACTTGTTCAGCCCTTTCAGTACATTTTAGCTGAAGATCTGTGTGGATTTGCTATAAATGAAAACTTTCATTCTTTTTAAAATTTGTTCTTTATATAACCTTAAGTAGTCATAATAAAGGGATACTTCTTGCACGTTTATAAGGATTCACCAAGTTTTGTGTTCTCCGTAACACCTACTTGATGATCCTGGAGGTCTTTCTTTCCCAACCTGGTTGATTCTCTGATCTCTTCACCAGGATACTGATTTAAAGAAGACAGTGGATGAAAGCGCACGGATCCAGAGGGCATACAACCACTATTTTGATCTGACCATTGTAAATGACAACCTAGACAAAGCCTTCGAGAAGCTGCAGACTGCTATCGAGAGGCTGAGGCTGGAACCGCAGTGGGTCCCAATTAGTTGGGTATATTGAGGTTTCCCAGGAGGAGCTCAAATAACAAATAAACCCGACTGCAGCAAGACGCTGATGTGACGTTGTGTAGATACCGGCGATGACTACGGCACCTGTGCATTTTTACTCTGTGTATATTCCAAAGTACACTGTTCTGAATTTTTATAGAAATGCTGAAGGGAAAGTGTACTTAAATATGTAATTTATTTTAATTTTTCTAACTTTTTACAGATAACCTTTCTATTCATATCACATGAAGGAAATGCGTTTAAGCATTTTTCTATGTTTTGATTTAGTACCTTTGCCTTTTTCATCTAAGAAACTTTCAGTCATTCACTTCAACACTTACATCTTGGTCTTACATTTTCACTGTGATTAAAAAAGGATACTTGAAATAATATTTTGTAAATCTTGTTAACGTCAGTGTTGAACCAGTCAAAAGTCTATAGCTCTTATTGGGAAAGAACTCCAACTTTGTTTGGGGTTTTTTTTCCTTGAAAAACAGTAACTTCACAGGAGCAGAATTTTAAGTATTAAAAGCAGCAACAAACACACAGCTCCATTGCTCCAGCTTCTTTCAGCTTAATGTTGGTGCATTCTTGACATTTCACAAATTCTTGCTGTCTCTTGATTTTGACAACTGTCGTGTGGGGTT